TTGACTAAAAATAAATCTGATAAAATATTTTACGAAACAGAAGTAGGAGTTAAATCAATTTTACAACATTTAATAATTTATGTCATGCGAAAATAATTCGGAAACATTTGCTCAAATTTTTGTATTGGTAGAAACTAATAGCACTAAGATACACGATTGCCAGAGGAAGAGTGGGCGACAATAATTAAAGGCGCGGTCGAATGGAAAGTAACCGGGTGTACTATCGATCCGAATGCATCGATGAAAGCCGCCAGGGCGAACGACAGAGCAGCAACCCGATAGACGCTATCGCGTTCCGGTGGTCGATCCCTTAAATTAATCGCTATGAAACGCCATTGCAACGGTGAAACCGCAGTAAAAACGAAACTCGCCGCCTCGCTCGCTTGCGCTGCGTTCAATTCGCAATAAGAGCTACCGACTCGGTATCCGATAAGAGCTGCCGATGATCGCGTGTTATACATTCGTGGTCGCTGAAAAATGTAAACTAGTTTTTATTACTAAGCTGGTGCGGTGAATTATGACGTAATCAATGGAAAACGAGCTGAAAAGGAACCGTTTTATATTCAAGTCAATAGCATCCAAAATAATCATGATGATTAAACGACGCGGTAGCGTCGCGACGCCAAATGCATAAAATAAAAATATAACCGCTTGACATGATAGCTTGACGCGTGAACGTCATCATGTATATGTTCATGTCGCTGCCAATTCGCGACGCTACCGCTAGCTTTATCTAGAGTTTTGACATCGACAAACTTTATGTAGATTAAAATTACTCAGAAATTAAAAGCCCAATCAAAAATCTAAAGACACTTTTATTATGTAAAGTCTTCGGCATCTTTCGATTGCGATCGGTCCGAATAACATTGGTGCAGCCGATATCGAGATCTAGAGACCGAATTTCAAAAAACGACCGTTTCAAGATTTTTTCAGTCGTACGTGTGACACATACATGTAAAGCGTTTTGTCCATTAGCTGCTGTTCACAATGTCTACATTCAAAAAACTAAAAAATAAATTAAATTATGTAAAAAATGAAATAAATTAATAAAACCAATTAAATTAAAAAAAAATTAATTAATTTAATTTAATAAATAAATAAATAACATAAAATAAAATAAATGAATAAATAAAATTCATTAATTTAAGAGAGAGAGAGAGAGGAGACGGTCTCATTAAACGAAGTATGTATATCATTGATTGAAATAATCACATTATATCAATTCAACTAATTGCATTGTTCTATTTGACTCTTTATTTGAGTTCATTTAACTCGAAGATGATGTCGAATTTAACTCTGAGATTAAGTTGATTGAATCATCAATTCGGATGGATTCAACTTATTTTCGAATCAATTGAACTCAACAAATTATGAAATAAAGTAAAATTGTAGTTAACTTGAATTTTTTTCTGCGTTAAACGAAGTATGTACATCATTGATTGAAGTAATCGCATTATTAATTCAATTAATTGCATTGTTCTATTTGACTCTTTATTTGAGTTCATTTAACTCGAAGATGATGTCGAACTTAATTCTGTGATTGAATTGGTTGAATCATCAATTCGCTCTAACTTATTTTAGAACCAATTAAACTCAATAAATTATTAAATAAAATATTAAAGCGACGCGATAGCATTGCGACGCCAAGTGCATAAAATAAAAATATAATCCGGGCACGCCAAGTTTCTTCTTCATTATAATCCAGTTGACAATTTTAACCATTTTCTGTTTATCTTATGTGTTTTGCTTAATGAAATACTTGGTTAATTACATTTATTTCATGTCCGATTTTTGATAAAGAAAAATTCAATTTTTTATGCATTTGGCGTATATTTTTTCTTTTTTTAAAAAAGTTAGAAATGATTAGAAACATTTTTTAACTGTATATTGTGTTGCATTTGAATATTACAATATATTTATTGATAAAAAATTAAGGATTATAACATAAATGCCTGTTAAAAAAATATACTATTCAATAAAATTAAAGCATTGCACTTGTTCCATTCTACGAAAATAGGCGAATCTTGAGATAGAATATCTTCGTCAAAAATCATCGTATCAAGATGTTTAAAAAAATATTTTAAGCCTTGAAATCTTTACGTTTTTACTATTTTACAGAAGCTTTAATTAAATCCACAACTAAACCAAGTTTGATCATAACTTTTATATTGTAATTTAAATAATTAAAATATAATATACCTATATCGTCATTCTTTAAATCGTGATACGTGAAATTTCCAGATATTAGGTAGAACCAAAAGATTGATCACACAAAATGTCAGCACATTTTTGGATTTATTTCACTTTTTGTCGTCTGAAATCTCATGTGGATTTTATTAAATCAAATTTTCATTCCGAAAAGGTTACGTGATTACGGTTTCAGCAAATTCGCGTAAAGAATTTCACTTTTTATTATTTTTTTTTCGAGAGAAAAATATAACGTAACATGCTCAATCCCCGGATTTGTAACAAACGTAGTGGAATTCAAATCTTTTAAAACAATTTTTCAATTTCTTTTAAATTCCAAGTTTACATTAACAATATTACAAACTTAACTTATCAGAGATATTTTTACGTATACATATCTAAGCATTTCAGAGTATCTATAACATATAGATATTATAAATAATAATATAATATTTACACAATAATATTTAAGAAATATAACATATATATATATATGTAAATTCTTAAGTAAAATTTTGTCACATTATTTTTTATATTAAATATTTTTTATGACATTTATTATCTAAAATTTTTTTATTTATCTTTTTTATTTTTGTGTTTGCTTTAAAAATTCGTTTAATATAGGAAAATTGCTACAGTTTAAAAAGTGTATATATAACTTTTCAACTTCATACAAGTTTCACTTCAACCTATATAATGTCTGACATAAAAGGGTATAATAAAACCCGGATGGGGAGACCGTTTCACAGAAGACATTTTCTTCTTTTTTTTTTTATAATAATCGTTAACCCAGTTAACTTCTGCTTCTGTAACGTGCTTAGTATATCCTTCACCTAAAATTTTTGATATTTCTTACTTACAAGTAATTATGCTATATTGAATCCTACTATCTAATATAATATTTGCTTATGAAACACTTGCATTATGAATAATCGTATGTTTTATTTAAGAATACACACTAAACATATATTATAATTTTTTTAATAATAATTATAATTGAATACTAAAATTACATAAGAGTATTGATTTTCCAAAATAAACGGATTACATAATAGAATAATACAAATTACCGAGAGAATCATAAATTCGATCTAACATATGCGAATAACAAAACATGCCGATCGATATTTGAACTGCGCGCGGATTGGTGAAGTAAGACGGGAAACCAAGCTGAAAATCGGCCGAAAGTTGCATCGTTGTTATAAACATTGTTTATAATTGACGAGTCTCAGATAAAACTTTCATTATTCTGCATTTTATTGTGCTAATTTCCTGTTGTTGACGAAAAAACGCCTTTAGACTTGATACCTTAATTGCTCTTATAAATATAACATGTGCGTATTGTCGGTCTGCAGACTCTCTTTATTTGTTAACAGATGGATCTGGTTTAGACAGAAATTTCTCCTCATGATTTGTAATTTTAGTTGTTGATGTTATAAATTTTTATTATGAATCAGGTAATTTTTAATAAATATAGTTTTACTTATTTTTCCATATCATCAGAAGGCTTCTGATGGTACGTTTTTTTGTGGTATTTATTTGCCGATTGGTGACCATTAATGCTCGAGTTTTTGTTTATACTTTGTCTTAATAAATTATTTCATTGCACGTTTGAAACGAAGAAATCGTGGAGTCCACTGTGGACGTAACACAAGTATAACAATATACCTTTAATCATTGCGTTATATATCGTTTTATCTGTTTATAATTTATGATATTACATATATAATACTTATTTATATTTTTTAAATATATGTATTTAATTTCTATACGAATTAAAATATTATAGGTATATAATATTATAAATTAAATATACAAGTTTAACTTAAAACGCAATAATTTTTATTTGGTACATACTATATTTTTATTTAATTATTTCATTTAATTCCTGAATAAAAGATATTATTTTTTAATATTGCTGTGTATTGTTTATAGTTTCAGATAAATTATCTAGTATTGCAATAATATAATAATAGATATAAAATATTTCGTTTTATTTTGCTCCTGTTTATCCCATTGCGCTTTTTCATTTTTATTTTCATCATAATTTGCAACAGTAGTACTGCTTCCAGACGTGGCTGTACGTGCTTGATGCTCTTCGTTTACAAGTTTTATTAAAATGAATGGATCACGGACACGTATAAATTCTGTCAGTGAGGAACTTCCACCTCACGGGGCCGACCCGTTTATCCTTCTGACTCTTGCTTCGTACATACATTCTTTACACGAATCATAAATACGAATTTTCCGCTTGACTATCTGCCGCTCTTTATCTCGCCCCTTCGAATAGGTTTGAACGAGGGTTTGAATTTGTTGCTGGTCAAAAAACATATTTTGAAAAAAAGATAACACGTGTCTTTGGACTATGACTACCTATTTCTTGAATTATATTTTTTTTCTTAGAATAATGTGACAGAAATAGCATATAATAATTATTTCATTTTTGTATTTCTGTATCCGTTCTAATATTTGAAACATTACGAATATGTATAAGACAATCGCAATCAATTCCTTTAATACATTATAATATTTTCTTACTAGTATATAATATTGAATTGAAAAATTAATTATAAAATTAAATAAAAAATAACATTACATGTTACAAAAAAATGTATTTAATTAATTAATTGAATTTATTTATTGTAAATTACAATGATAAAAAGTAATTTACTGGAAGAAATAAAGTAGCTCTAGATATTATATACGAGTTTTTAGTATAATAAACGCAATCATTTCAAATGAAACAAACTTTTAATATTTCACTTTATTCCTTATGTAATGAAACTTGCTTAACAAATGTCTTTCATTTTCAGGTAACGCTTTCCATCTCAATTCTCATCAGTCTGCACGTGTTCTTTCTACTGGTCGTCGAGATCATCCCACCGACTTCGTTGGTTGTGCCATTGCTTGGAAAGTACCTGATATTTGCCATGATACTCGTCTCGATAAGGTAAATATTTCAACTTTATACCAAAGCGAAAGACGAAGAACTTCACAGCAGAAAATTACATTTTCACTACGTTTGCCAATTTGGCGCAGCCGAGGAGAGAAAATGCGTTTCTGATTGCGACAAACTAGATGTGATACAGAAACAATTTTCAGTAATTTCCGTATAATATCGTAGGAAATGTTTTCTGCATTGTTCCATTTTGCTCGCATTATCACATTTTCTTGTCGTGTTAGTGCGCTATCATCGTTATCGATTAACGCTTCTGCAGCGATTTATCAGCTCGTGTTTACGACAGCAACGATTCCGTAGCAATTAATACAGCCCCGTAGAGGATCGTAAAGGGGCTATACAATGACACTTGTATTCGCCAGTGAGAACCGGAAAAATGACAACGAGGGTTGGAATCGCTCTTGTTAGTGTTTTCTCTTGAAACGAACGTTGATTCTAGTAACAACTGTAAAAACATTGGTAACAGTTCTACAATATTTTTTCTTTCACGCAAAATAGTACTAAATATGACTATTTATATTTTGGGGATTTTCTGTAATTACATATATATGGAGAATGATTGTTTTTAATCTAAAGATACGAATTGCATTTAGAGATTTAGCAGTAAAGCAATAAAGATATGATTCGAGATATATTAAACTTTATAAATACTATCGTTAAAATCAGGTGAATTTTATAATCATTATGACTAAATCTACAATCTTAGTAATTCAATATTAGTTTTTTTACATCTAGGTGCATCCATATTTCTACAACAATTTTTAATGAAATGGTTGGATTTATATTCATACCTCTTTTTATTTTCCACAAGAAAATTTGTATAGATCGTTTGTTTCTCGTTCCTTTATTTTTACCTACTTTTCTCAGTCACAATTTTCTTCAGCGTAGTTCTCCATTTCATCACTGTTTTACTTTTATTTCTCTCTATCACGCATGCGATGCATCTGCGTGTTCAATAAGGGTACCTCGGGATCTCAAATTACTCGGAAATGGGCGATGGAGCAAGTAACAAATAACAAGCACCCTCAATTTACTTTTCGATCCCTCCGAGATCACGTACGAATTCTTGATGACGAAAACATGATATTTATTAATGTAATTTTACCATTTTCTTCTATTGAATAAATCTGTGGGAAAGAAAGTTAAACGGAATAAAAAGAGAAAAAGGAGATATTTTTTCAAATATTCCTAAAGCACTTATTATTATATTGAAACAATGTTATACTTTATTGAAAAGTTTAACTGGAATTTATCTAATCTTGATACATAATATGGTTTAACATAATCTATTTAAAAAAAGAATATATTTATATTAATTCTTAAATAGAATAATTAAATATATGATATCAATTATTTAATAATAAATTAATAATAATAATAATAATAGTAACATTAATAATAATATGGTTTTTCACAACACTGAATTTTAAATTTGATCAGAACTGGATCTTTGAGAGGAAAGAGAAACTTTTTTTATTTTTCCAGATGATACAAATAATCTGAAAAACTTCTATATTCTTGTATATTCTTGGTTCTATCGCAATATTCTGCAGTATACACTATATATGCGAAAACAATAATTCAACAAAGATGATAATTTGATATTTCCGATTATAATTTCGACTACCAATCGTCGGGAATGGACTACCAAACGTCAGTAAGCGACCACCAAACGAATGCTTACGGTCATTATTGCATTTGCAGTCTGCAAAGCCGAGTTTTAGAAATGGGGTGGCTAACTTCACGCTCGTTCTTCTTTTTTTGACATTTCTCATTATATCTTTGACTACCAAACGTCCGGAATGGACTACCAAACACCACCAAACGACCATCAAACGAATGGTCATGGTCATTTTTAGATTTGCAATAGTGGGGGGGCCAACTTCACATAACCCCGTCACACACTATATTGTTCGCGAGCCAGCAGGCAACGGCGCGTGTCATAACAAACACGCATTACGCATCAAAACATGATCACGTGAAGTACGAGGAGAAGCCAAAGCAATTATTCCTTACAATAGTTTCCCTAGCAATAATTAATTCGACTATCAATCAATTAACGTCCTCGATAACTGTAAATTTTATTGCTCACGATTTATTCATTTTACTTATGAATTGAAGCTAAAGAATGGAAATTATATTGTTTTATTGCTCGCGAGAGATAATAAATTTTTTTAAATCTTAGATTCAGACATATCTTGCGTTCAATTTGCATTTTGCTAATTAACACACGATTTATTTATTATTTTTGGATTGGAAGTGCGGTATATAAAAATTGCAGAATATTTATCGAACAGTTCATACAGTTTCATTTCTTCTACATTTCCCTTATCTGTATTATTTTCGTGATTGCATTTTGATGAAATTCTGTTGTAATATAAGATACTAAAGTGTGCATTGCGTGCAACTTATATTGGAAACGTTATACGAGTGCAATGAATGAATCAAAGAGGAAAAGGAGGCTCGAGAGTTTCAATGCAATCACCATTATACGTTGTGTTCGTGAGTGATATATAATCTTTTATTAATACAACACATTTTTGTAAAAATTATGCCATTCAAATAACAAGAAAGAAATTACATATTATATGTTTATACATGTATGCGACATATATTGATTTCGTAAATACGATATTTCATAGAAAGCTAGATTAATTTTCGTATAGCCAGTGTTTTGACCTGTAAGGTCGTTATATGCTGTATACAATTATCATTTGCGCAGCAGACAGTAAACTTCACGCGATCGTAGAATTTACTCAATTACGCCAAGTACCAAGAGACGTCATGTAAATGTAGCTTTTATCATCAACAGTAATTATCAGCGGCTAATTAATTTACGGCTTCTATTAACAAATATCAATTTATTAGTTATTTATTTCACAAACAATTATATAATTTTGCGATTTATTAATAGAGATAAATTTGTATCGTATAATATTTTAAATTTTATATGCATTGAATATATCAAATTTTAATTTTTTCACTGATTAAAATCGACTTTTTTGAATCGAATGTAGCAATATATACTTAATTAATGATTACGGTTGTATTAGGTCTGTATTTTAATAATTGTTAATTAACATATAATATCATGCTTAGCATTTAATAAATTTGGTACTTATACATATTGTAATTTATCAAAACCATTCGATATTTGACATTTTATTCAGTTATATTTTTAAGATTTGCGGGTGTGGAACAAATTATAAAGCTTCTTGTTTTTCTTGTATTATTTTCATATTCACGTTTCAGTGAGATTTTGCAATGTACAATAATAAAGCGGCCGTCGACTGTAATTAACGTCGGGAATGCCGTGCAAAATTGCCGTGCACTTATTCTACTCTACTGATTTCTATTCGTGAGTTTAATTTATCTTTTTTTTGTGAGTGTTACATTGTACAAATGTAACGATTATTTTATAATAAAAATTTTAAGAAAAGAGGAAAAAGAAGCCTGGAAAGAATCAAACAACGGTAGAGAAATGGAGAGAGCAAATTATTTTATATTTTATTTGTTACTTGCAGAATTAATTATTTACTATAGCATTTTGCGAACAACAATTATTTTTCTACATATTTAGATATGGTGCAAAAAATATTACCTCGGCCGGGAGTCAAACCGGGATCTCTGGCATTCCGCGCGAGAGTTCTAAGCCTTTAGACTACAAAGGCACGAAATACCTCTCGCATGGAATGTCAGAGAGATCCGGGTTCGACTTCCAGCCGAGGTAATATTTTTCGCAACATAAATTAATTATTTACAGATTTTTAATATGTCATTCAACATTATTAAGATCCAAGATGCTACGAGCATCAAAATTGTTAGATTGTTAGTCAATTTAACTCGTGATAGTACCGCGGTAGTTTATTAGAGTTTATGTTGTAAGTCTGAAAAAATTTCGGCGCGTATTTAAGAATCTACATACGTAGTATATAAATTCACATGAAATTAGATATTAGAAGCATCCAAGATCCAGTTTGACTGTTACGGCGTGTCTCCTCAGATTTTCAAATTTATACTACGTGAAATTTTTAAACTGTGACATATTTAAGTGGCATTTTTAACCAGGTAAAATTCGGTCGTTATTAATTTTTCTCACTTATTCGGCTCCTCGTTCTGGTTACGGGTATATCCCCATTTACGCTGACGACATCCTTTGCCAATCTACTACTAATAATCCGCCTCAGTGCTCATTTAATTAATTTCAACTTCAACTTGATTTTTCACTTAAAAGAATGAAAGTTTTGCACACAAGGAAAAGAAATCTTACTGCGTTTATCAAAAATTTAATTAATCTAAATTATCGCATTATACGCACAAATTGCTATATCTACAATTTTTAAAGCTAATAAATTACATTTCCAATTTTTAAGGCTAATCTTTTTGAAATAATAGTAAGAAAACGTAAATTAACGTCAACTTTACGAAAATTTTTTTAACAGTGTCTTTAGTCAGACAGTTTTATGGTTTAAAGTAGAGTTGAGAGAAAATAATGTCTGAAAGTATAATAAAAAAATTATTAATCATAACGTAATTATAACGTAATATAATTTTATTCAGAAAATATTAATTAAAATTAGTATTGCTTATGTAATTAGAAATATATTTATATTAATGGATAATAGCGTGCGACAAAATTTTTAAGACGAAATGTGTAATTATATCCTTTTAAGTGTTTTTGTTCATATTATCGACTATACATAACATCGTTTCTTGTGTGATGCCTGTATTAGATTACCAAACTAATCACGATGTAGCAAGTTCATCGTAACTGAAATAGAACCGGGCAACCGTCAATCGTAATCCCGTAGTCAACCTCTCGCAGTCTGATATTCCCCTAATGTTCATGATAATAATCGTTGACCAACGAGGTAATTAATTAATATCAAACATGAGAGTCTCAGCGAGTGGCATATACACATGTTTGTCAATTACAATGAAAATGATCTATCTCTCTTTATCTTTCTCCATTTTCCAGTATAATTTCTAGT